CAGCCAAGTACGGCTTCACGCATTTTTTGGGTTTCATTGGCTCATTTTATTTCTGAAAGTTCATGTGTATGCGGGATGGCTTGATAATTGTCTTATGAACAGTCAGAAGCAGTTTATGGACAACTCTATTTTGTCACAGTGTCTAATGGAAAACTACTCACAACTGTTTTGTTTATTTGTACTACTTTTTTTGCCAAGTTAATAATATTTGTTTACCTAATACCTGGTTCACACGGCAAGATTTTAAAATTATCTATTTTCAAAACCTGAGAGACCACACATGATGATAAAAAATCATAGATATAACAGGATTGAGCCTACAGTGTGTGGTGTACAGCCACACAGCAAATAAAACCCACCACACACCAACAGGTTTCACTCACCAACATTCAGATGTCAGAGGTTAAATATCGCAAAACCACTCAGAGTAAATAAACATGGCTGACGAGGAAGAAGCAATGATTTTAGTTTTACTATTTTTAACAAATTAAAACAAAAAGACGTCTGACGTTCACTGGACTTTCTGGTGCAAGTGAGTTTTGTCTTTTGTATTTTGAACTCCTCTTCGTGTTTCCGTCACCTCGCTTTCTGATTGGCTACACGTCACATTCAACACTGAAGCCGTCCGTATGTCATCCTGAGCCAACTAGATCAATCTTAAAACACCTCACATGGCAAGAATATCTGATAAGATTATCTTAGAGCCATCACGATAATACGGTGTGTTGGAAGGGCAAAAAACCTGCATAAATATCTTGCGTGTGAACCAGGCATTATAAACATACTTGCTGTTGCTGTAGTAAGCAGTTTGGACAGTAAGATGTCACTTTTGTGAATGTCGATTTATTTTATTTTATTTGGCTGCAAACATAAAACATCTGCACAATTTTAGGCTAAGTGGATCTTAGCATTTAGATTGTCCATCAGAAATTAACCAGTCAGCATCACACAAATAGCATGAAAATGTTGGCAAATAAAAATATCATGAAAATTACGAGTTCTTTAAATTTAAAATGTTCATTAAATCACAAGACTCTGTAAAATGAACTTTGGTATCTTTTGATTTCCCTTTGGCCCACCAACTTAAGGCAGTGTGAGCTCAGTATTCAGAATGGAAGACTGAACGCGCAGCTTTTCAGGAGCCAAACAAAAAGCATTAATGCCACCTCTTTTGTGTAGGTGGGTACTTTGGGTGTAAGAGAGAGTAACATGGCACAAAGCACTACAGCTGTGTAAAGAGAGCATGAAACAGGATGACACTTCACTTTGCTATCCATCTCCAGGATCTGAAAAGTGATGTGGATGTCTCTCATCACAGCAAAATGACAGATCTTAGCAAAACAAATTTCACAGGCAGCTGCATTCTCATGTTGCATACAAACTAGAAAAAAAGATGACTTGTAGAGAGATGGGTCTTAGCAGCTGCACAATCCATACTGCAGAAGACATAATCCCAATTATTGACAGGGTTTGGAATCAGAAACAAACAATGAAATACTCTCAGGTAGAATTAAACTTTTGCAGTTTTGTGAACAACTCAAGTGTTCAGCAGATGCATTAACAGTGTCATTCAGACAGGGTTTAACTTGACTAGACATGCCCTCTATCAGTCGTCAAATCTTTGGCTGGCGCTACAATGTCTTCAATCTTTGCCTAAATAAGCCAATACCTTTTAACAAAGAACATGAGCACTTCTTGTAGACATTCAAATCTGTCTTTGCTGTTGACAAACTGCAGTTAGATTTGCTCAATCTTTCAAAATCAATTTAATCCATCTTAAAGAGATTTGAAATCAAATCAACTGAGTTGAGATGATTCTACTGCAAACAACTAAATGATATCAACACGTAACCAGTCCTCTAAAGTGCACTAGGTGCTTTCTTTTTAATAGGCAACACAGATTTATGTGCTAATCACTGGTTTACGTAGCAGAACTATAAACTAAAATAAAAACCCCAGGCACATTTATAGGGTACAATCTGCAGTGGAAAAAGAAGAACAGGAAGATACCAAAACTGAGGAAAGTCAAGCCTAGCTGTGCAGCAAAGAGGAAATGAGATATTACAGATTTAATTAAAGTTCTCTGTCACTTTTTCACCTCAATCCATCTAAAAGGAAACAGATGTTTTGCTGAGATGGAAAAAGTTGAAAAAGCTACAAAATAAAAGAAAATAGAAAAGAAAAGTGACTGTAACCTATTTGATCTGAAAAAATAAATATACAGTCTTTATATTATTACAGTAAACAAACAATGTGATAATTCTACAATGCTGTCTAAATTGTTTTCATTTGCAGATGAAGGAGCTTTTTCATTACTTAATTACAGTTTAACGCCACCCCAGCGAAGAGTGGCGTACTGGATAATAAGATGTGCTCATTTGCATTTCCCTTTTCCTGATTTTCTGCTTATTTTGAAAAAACTCTGCTCTAAATAAACGTATCAAATGCAAGAAGGGAAGCCTTTCCACAAACCTGTTACACCTCACATGGATCCATGGATGAACAGTTTGCACAAGCGTGCAGAAATATCCACAGTTAAGGCAAATTTGAAAGAACAGGATCATTTTGAGACAATGCTGGTATTATCTGAAGCTCTGGCTCTGAACAGGTAGGTAGGACTGCAGTGCTTTTGTCACCAGCTGCATTTTGCTATTGGTAACAGGAGAAACAGTATGTGCAAGGAATAAAGAGGTGCCGAGAGAAACACAAACCGGGAGACTTTATAGGTTACATCTCAGCGTGGGAGGATAAGGGATCTTTAGAGCTAACATTTATAAAGTCAAATATGCTTTAAATTTGTATTAGGTCTTCATTAGTGACAGGAATTATTAATACTTGGCAAAAAGATTATGCAGTCTGGGTTTAATGTGTTGGTTATACTCGGCTGCGTATTATACATTTTTCATATGCAAGGGACGGCAGAGAAAAAGCCGTTTTCGTACGTGCCAGGGAGGGTGGCCCACGTGTGGACTCGGTACAATTTTCCACCCAAAGCGCCTTATTAATTTCCAGCCAAAGCAATTATCTGATCAAGAGGTCTGTGTTTTAATCTTCATAGAGACAGACGGAGAGAGAAATCCACGCACCGAACAAGCAAGTGGTGTGTGTAAGTGTCATTTATCCCTTAGTTGGGAAAGGAGGAGAGATTTGGCAGCACAGAGCTTCGTCTGCCCTCCCATCGGTTCATTATAGAATTCCCTAATAGGTGGAGAACAAGGGGGGGAATGATCCAGAGCGTGCTGACAGAGGAGTGGGCCGCTACCCAAGACATGAAAACCAGACGTCTTGTTCACACTTGGTGAGACGCAGATGTTCTGGAGTCAGCCGACAAGGCGCTTTAACCTCTTAGCTCTCATCTATAAGCCTGTTTACCCACTCAGCGGTGCACCTGTTTGGAACCGCCATGCTGTGAACTTTAGAAGAAGGTGAAACGAGCCTGAAACGACAGGGACAATTTGTGGCGTTCGAAAGGTTTCAGTGATTTTGGAAACGTAGCATTCTTTTCTCGCAAGTTTGAATACCAACATGAAGTGTCCGGGAAAATCCCAAGCTGCTCTCTCRGACTACAAAGTCAACAAGTCTTTCCCGCAAAGAATTTGGCCTCTCGGTAGCTGTGGTAACTCACCACCGTCTCCTCATGGGTGTGTACGCGCAAATCCTAAAGACACACACTGAATGAGACCAATGGTGAGCTCACACACATGCACTGCATGTTTACACAGTGCGTGGCAGGCGGACAGAATGCTGTGGAAGAGGAAAGGTCTGAATCCTCGAACCAGACGCAGCTGACAGATTTGTGGTTCCTGCCACTGAAGATGTGAAGTCAGGCGTGTTCACGGTGTTCCTGTTTACACCAACTTTTGAGTGGAACCAGCGTACGCAGAGGTTAAGTTGTATTGTTCAAAGGATCATTGTTTTCACGGCAAATTTACCTTCTGTTTCAGGCTGGGAAACTACCGGGAAAAAAAATGGGATTTTGGTGCCTAGTCAGAGAGCTGAGAATGTAAAGTGTGCAGCACAGAGGAAACATCTCTCTAAACTGCTGTGTACTGGGATAAAAACAGCACAATGGCCAATAAAGAGTAGCATACACAGCAGTGGGTTACCTTTAAAAGTCCCACATTTCGACATCTCCTAAAAAAMCTGGATTCTCTGATCCCTAACACACATGGGCCTATTACTTCCGACCTTTTTTTTTATCAAAACCTTTTTTTTTTTAGCAAAAACATGTTTCAGCATCATTCTCAACAGGCTCCAGCCATGTTTCAGTTCACTCCACAGCACTGACGCTTTCCTTTTGTGTCAGTTTGTGGAAGAAAGCTGGGAGTCTTATTTGTCAGTGACACTCATTAGTCCACCCTTGCATTAAGCAAATTACCCAGAAACTGCCACCGCTGTTATGCAGACGATGTGGAGCTGATGTGGAGCTGTTACCCGCTTGTAAAAGAGAAAAAAGAAAAAAGAAAAAAACCTTTTGAAAATGTGGTTTTCTTCAGCATTGTGTGAGATCATTTCAAAGCGTCTGGTTTCGCAAAGCTGATTTAAGGCAATTTTCCTGTTAATGGCATGACAGCTTCCAAAAACGAACATAAATTATAACCCAGATTCTACATTTGTTTCACAGTGTTTGATGTTTGTCTCCAGAGCTTCTTGGAGAAACTAAAACAGCCAGCTGTTCTTGCTCGCTGCATTAACCCAATACAATGTCACAGGGGCTGATCTTTGACCTGAATGTTTTTAGCACCGATTAGATAATAAGATCTGGGTTATCTTAACAGAATCCTTTCTTTCGGATGTCACTAAGGGGGTAAAACCAAATATTTCTGGCAGAATTTAAAACAAAAAGGAAATAAATCAACCTTATGATTATAGTTCAAGTTTACTCTATGATGCATGTCTTCCACTCAGGTTTCATAAATAACTTTTCTGGACTTTCTAATAATTTGGGGATTTCAAACAATAGGCAGCATCTGAAGGAGGAAAAATGAAGTCAGACTCACCTTCCTCTGCAGAAACCAGGAGAATCCAGTTAGAGATGATGCACCCCAGCAGCAGAACCGTGCTCTTGTTTATCAGCTCCATCATGGTTTTGCTCCAAGGTGGTAAAAAACTGATTAAAACCCAGTGGCTCTGGGAGCCCCTGGACCTGCAGCTCGGCTGTAAACGTGCAGACCGGTTCGCATTTAAAGCGATGCTTCTGAAACTAAAGCCGTCTGCTTGTAGCTGCTTTTTTTCCTCACCATAACCTGGGAAAGTTGTCCAACTTTTGTGCCCTTTTTTTTTTTTTTTTTTTTTGTTAAACAAGTCTTTGCATAAAACTGAAGCGTTGAAACTCAACTCCCCACCTCGGTCCTTCTGTCAGCACATGGGGTTCATGGTTGAAACTTGGACGGTAAAAGGGGCTCTTTGTGCTCCCCTCCACACGAGACTTCTTCCAACCCCCAAATAAACCTCTCCCCMTGCGCCGCCTCAGCCCGATGACCGAGCAGGCTGAATCCGCAACCAGGGCACCTCAACGCATATCTGGCACTTCCAGAGATAACTATCAACCCTTTCATACCTTTCCCAACATCTTCCCGACGTCTTCCTAAAAAAAGTAAAGTCCAAGGCAGTCCTTTTAAATTCCTTCAAACACCAAAAAATATCAGGCTTCGGGTTTGTTTTTTAATGTGGTGACGGGGATATCCAGCGCGACACGTTCAGGCTGGCCTGGTTTAACAGGCAAAAATAGMCCAAACAGAGCAGGAAAAGGTCTGGTTTGTTCGCACGGTGAGTTAACAAACTAAAGGCTAAACGGAGACATTAAAAAGTTATGTGCTSAAGCAGCTCGTAGTACTTGCCGCTGGAAGCTGGTCACCGAGGACTGTCTCCGCATCAAAACCCGGAGTCGAATGGCACCAGTTTTCCCCTCCCATCCTGGTTTCCATGGCAACAGAGTCAGGATGAAGTGTTTAGAGGAGCTGTTTCCGGCAGAGTCCTTCAAAATAAAACACTAGGTATTTAAAAACATTCAACCTGAAYCAAAACGGATTTAAAGKCATGGTTATTTAATTACTTTTGAARTGAYATTTTGTCTWATAGTTATCAGTAGTTTGCATATTATAATATATCTGTCACAAATGGAGACAATGTCTGTTCAGGGTAGTCTGCTCTACATATATTTTCAGGCTTGAAAATCATTTGCGAAGTAATGTGCAGATTGTTGCACAAATAAAGTGTAAATAAATGTTTGAGATTTTTAAGAATTAAGATTTACATCATCTATCAATCCCAGTAACTGAAATAGCAAATCAATCTTTATTTTGAAGGTTTTCTTCTTTTGATATCCATCCATCCATCCATCCATCCATCCATCCATCCATCCATCCATACATCCATCCATCCATCCATCTCTTTTCACAGCCACATTTTCCAGCTCATCAATATAGATATGCATTCATTTATTTATTAGAAAAAAAAAGCCTGAAAAACAAAGCAAAATGGGTCCACATTTGGCTAGCAGTTAGTCCAGCCAGGGCAACAACCAGCTACTGCCTGTCACAACTGATGAAGTTCTGATCCATGATATCTAATTGGCAGAACATTACTTCTATCCCTTATTATTTGTTTTCTTTTTCTTTCATTTTTTGAAGCATTTGCATAACCCCCATATATATATATA